GTACATGTATATACATATATATAGTTACTTATCTATATATTTATTTAAATTGTGTGGAATTTTGTATATGTATATATATATATATACACAAAATTCCACACACTATAAATATATACTTAAGTAACTATATGTATGTATATATAGAGGTCTAACATAAATGATAATGATAATGTCAGAGCAAAGATCATCTTCATTGTGGAAGTTTTAGGCTGAATATTCCATAAATCCTCCCTATGATGTGGCTTTGAACTCATCTTGAGGTCAGTTAACCCTGTAAAGTCATATGTATCATATTTGCTTCATACTGTTAATATTGAAAATTTTCAATTAATATTGAAAAATAATTTTTGTTTTTTTCTTTTTACATATTTTTTTAAAAGGCCAAATAAGGAATTCAAACAAAAAAAAAAGTAATTTTCTGCTTTATTTTATTCTTGGATCAGGCTTTGAAGGGATAAATAAAAAAAGCAAAATCAACAACGATCCTCACACGGAGCTCCAGAAATGATATGTAGCCTAAATTAAATCGCATAGTAATGAATTATTAATATTGAAAAATAATTCTTGTTTTTTATTTTACATATTTTGTTAAAAGGCCAAATAAGGAATTCAAAAAAAAAAAAAAAGAAATTTTCTGTTTTTTTGGGGGGGGGATCAGGCTTTAAAGGGTTAAAGGGTCTAGTTTAGAAAACCAGAGCATGTGCGTTTAGTTTAGTCTAAAAACAGGAAGAGAATCTCCCCCTGTAGTTCTTCAAGTCCACCACTAGGGGGTGAACCTGAACTTGAACCCTCCTCCCTCCCTCCCTCGCGGCAGCTGATGCGGTCACGTGCTCGCGGGCGCGTGCGCGGGCTCGCGGCAGAGCGGGGCAGCATGGCGGAGGATGCGGAGGCTCTGTCCGGAAGCCTGGCCCTGTTTTCGGACCTGACCAGGGTCCTGCTGCAGGACGTCCGGAGGGAGGCCGCAGGTGGGTCGGTTATCCGGTTATCAGAAAATGGCGACCAGGGAAGTGAATTACAGTACACGTTGTTTTTTTTGTAATATCCTCCTGAGACCCTGCGTCCTCATATGAGGACATTGCATTTTGAATTTCTTTCCCATGGTACTTTTTTTTTCTTTCTACTTTGACCTCTTGGCCTCATAGTAGAAACTATCAAATATATAAAGATAAACCCACTGAGCCAATACGAAGAAAAACTACCTGTACCATGACAAAGTCTAGTTATGGACTTATTAGGTCCTACTAATCCCGTATATCTTGAAAAAAGAAATAATGCTGCCAAAAAAAAGCTCAGATCTCAGGAGGATATGTGGTCCGGTCTGATGTTTGTTTGGATTTGAAAGTGTTATTTTTTTAACCCCATGGTGCCTCTGAGTGCTTGTTTTCAGTGTGAGGAAACTTTCAACCTGTTGCATCTTAATGTTTCCTAACTGGTTATTTACTGTTGTTAGAATTAGCTATAATTACTCATTTTAGCATTGTATGCTATCACATGATCTATGTAAATTACTGATTGTCTTATTTTCTTTTATGACTATATTTTTTGTGAAAGTCTCTGGCTGTGTCCACAGACTCTCCTCTCTCTTTTCTTTTCTCTCTTTTTCTCTCTCTGTTCCATTAGTTTCACACTTTTAGGTCAACACAAACATACACACCATTTGTTACCACATTCCTGTCATCTGCATGAATTAGGACCTGGCCTGTTCCTGCCCAGAGGTAACTGGCCAATAGGACTTGGTTGTGTCCAGTCCTCCTTTGAGGAGGCGGATGGAGCCCAGGAGATAATGCCCATCACCCAGATCTCAGGGCTCTTTGCCCACTGAGACCCAGAGAGAGGTTTTAGTCTGTTAGAACTTAACTGTGTCAAATAAATGTCATTTTTCATACTTTTGATCCACTCTGGTTTATACTCAGGTTTCCAACTAAAGAATCGGGTTAACATAATAAATATGGAACTTTAAGCTTCAATTCAAGTATCTCAGATAAGATCCAGGAATTCCTGTAATCACTATTTTCGTTTGCATATGTTGTTGAAACATGGTCATTTAGGTCCTGTAAGAGTTCTATAGAGATCCAAGCTTGTTTTTTTTTTGGGGGGGGGGGGTTCTGTTTCTTGTGTGTTCTTTTCTGTCGTATTAGGTTGCAATATACCTTTTACTCTTATCAGACTAATGTACATGTTTCTCTTTAAAAGCAATAAAGAAGAAAGCGTTTTAGGTGCGAGGCACTGAGACAAAGTTTCTTTTCCCAAAATCGACATGAAACGCTCACTTAGTCTCAAGCATATTTCAATGGGGGACGGAAACGTGACCCAATAAATGTCATTTTTTATACTTTTGATCCACTCTGGTTTATTCTCAGGTTTCCAACTAAAGAATTAGGTAACACTATTATCTCTGGGCCAAATGGCACAATGGCTGTGCAAAGTAATCCCTGTCATGCTTATTTCCAACATAAGGAGATTTCCCAAAAGAGCTCACAAAGCCCCTTTGTTTTTTCTCCCCCCCCCCTCAGCCTCCCTGGAAGCACTGGTCCCCCACAAGATCACCACCTTATTCGGCCTGATCACGGCCGGGGCGGACCTCTACAGAAGGTCAGCCGGTTCTTACAACCTCAAATAACAGAAAGTAGAAAGTATCTTTGACTGAGGTCTGATTTGAGCTGTTTTTTGTTTTTTTTTTCAGCCTGGGGGTGAAAACGAAGAGCGAGGCCGAGGCCGTCTGGCAGAAGTCTGACCAGTGAGTTTTCTCCACCGAAATGAGGATTTATTTAAATACACGTTCGAGAAAAGTTATTGTGTTTTTCTCCAATTGGATTTATTTATCCAATGTTATCCAGGTGTTTTTTTTAACTGTTTTAACCCTTTAAAGTCTGATCCAAGAATAAAACAGAAAATGACTTTTTTTGGGTTTGAAGTCTTTATTTGGCCTTTTAACAAAATATGTAAAAAGAAAAAACAGAAATACATTTTTAATATTAATAATTTATTACTATGCGATAAGTCAAGATTATTTTTTGTGTAGTCTTCTGCCCCCTGTTATCAGGTGTATCTGATTGTGTAACAATAGGATTTTGAGCAAAGTTTTTACCATTAAATTATGCAAAAGGTGTCAGACGCAAAACATTTCAGAAACCGTATGAATCAGATATGATACATTTGGCATTACAGGGTGAACAACAGCATGATGGTATTTAGATGAATGAGGACAATTCAGTTTGCTGCTCAGTAATATAAAAAATAAAGAAAAACGGTTAATCTGTAATGTCTCAACGTCTGTGTGTTTGCAGCCATGCGGCGGTGAGGCAGCAGCTGGACCAACTTTTGCAGCTGGAGGTATTTTTTTATTCAGTTTGGTACCTGTTTAGCTCCGAATCACAGTCCAGTTCGGAGCCCGTCTCGTCCTAAAGTCATCAAATCATTCGCAAATGGTCCAAAACTGTTTTCACTGGTGTGCTTTCTTTCTAAGTTTATCATTCTAAAAGAAAAATAGTCAAAAGATGTTCATATTTCGGCTTTAATATCAGTCAATTCTTCTTTTTTTTGCTTTGGAAATGGCTGAAAACATCCGGATAACTGATTAGTCCAAACATCTGGGCAGCTGTAGCTGTTTAATCATCGTCATTACACACAGCCCATCCGATTTTATTATAAATGAGGATAATGATGGACAGCTGGAGTGAAATTTTTTATCAAATTGAGAATATCTGAGCTTATGTTAAAAAAAGTTAAAGGAAAAGTTTTTTTTTTGGTCCAGCTGTGGTCTGATGCATACAGCTGAAATACAGACACAGGGAGGACTGATGGGATTGGTATCAGAAATACTTTAATAATCCCAGATGGAAATTATTTATTACTCCAGAAATACAACAGCATATACATATATACATGTCTATACATATCTATACATATATACATGTCTATACATATCTATACATATATATACTATATATATATATATAAACACACACATTATTCCACAAAAAATATAAATTCATACATACAGTATGGAACTATATGTATATATACAGATCTAAAATAAGTGATAATGACAGTATGAGAAGAATAAATAAATGCCAATAAATTGGCAAGAATTACATATTTAGTGACAGACACCAGGGGTGGAGATGAGGATCAGAAATGGAGCTCAAAGGCCCGTTTGGGCTGCTGTTCCAGCTGTTTTCCAGCTGTTTTCCAGCTGTTTTCTGCTTTGAGGGCGAGTGGGACTCCTTCCTAAAGGATATATTATCATATCTATATCACATATCTATATATATATATCTATATATATATATATATATACATACATACAATATTCCACACAGAATATACATACATACAGTATGTAACTTATATATATACAGATCTAAAATAAGTGATGATGATTGTGTGAGAAGAATAAATAAATCCCAATAAGTTAGTAAGAATTACATATTTAGTAACGGACTCCAGGGGTGGAGATGAGGATCAGAATTGGAGCCCAAAGGCCCGTTTGGGTCCCGTTTGGGCTGCTGTTCCCGCTGTTTTCCAGCTGTTTTCCAGCTGTTTTCTGCTTTCAGGGCGAGTGGGACTCCTTCCTGAAGCAGGTGGACGACGGGCTGCAGGCCTCCGACGGGCTGCTGTCTGCTGGGGAGCCGCTGGAGCGGCTGAACCCCGACAGCCAACTGTGTGACGCCCGCAGTGGAAGGTGAGACCAACAGGGCCCCGAGAGTCGGCCATTTTGATTAGCTCACCAATAGGAAGATCCCAGGCAGGAGAATCCTAATTGCTTCATGGCAATATAGACGTTAATTTAAAAATAGTGAAATTAATCTTGCAAACACTGAATTAAACTCTATACGTAATATTGTGTTAAAATAGTGGATGTTAAATAGGTTTGTATAATAAGTCCAAACAAGTTTAACCAAAAAATGTTTATTTCTGACAATTATGAAGGGTGGAGGGTTAGGGTTAGGGTTAGGGTCAGGGTTAAGGTTAGGTTTAGGGTCAGGGTTAAGGTCAGGGTTAGGGTTAGGGTTAAGGTCAGGGTTAGGGTTAGGTTCAGGGTCAGGGTTAAGGTCAGGGTTAGGGTTAGGGATAGGGTCAGGGTTAGGGTTAGGGTAAGGACATCGTTTCTCTTCTGATTTCGTATAGACAGTAAAGTTTAGTTTCAACCTCAGGAAGCT